GAGGGAACGGGTGTTCGTGTTTTTGCTGTTGGTGCTTTTTGCTTGTTGTGCTCTGCAGTTGAAGTCTCTGCAAACCAGCAGGTGAGTGAACGGCCCGTCCGGTTTGGCAAGTACTAGTGCCAGCAGTGTTCGTCGACCTGTCACGAGAACAGGAGCCATTGTAGCCTGCACGGGCATCCGAACCAGTCTTGGCATTTTGTGGCGGACTGGTTCAGAATTCAGGACATTAGAATCTACAATACTGATACCGGTTTCACATACTCTGATTCACAGACTCTAATTAGCTCTTAAAAGGAAGATGCTTATTTGTTCTTGATCTCGGGTCTTTAAGTTTGCGCCACTGCGATGTGGTACTCGCCGCCAGTGCTAGCAGGATGAAGGGGGATCCGCAGTAGCACTAGCGACAGCAACCGAACTAGCAGTGGCAAAGTGCAGTAGCAAGAGCAGCTGCAGAAAACGCCACAGCAGCCGCAGTCGCAGTCGTATTGGCTGAGGCAGTAGTCGTGACAGTGGTGGCGACGGTATGGCAGTCGTTATGGTGATGTGTGGTGGGCGGTGGTAGCACGTAGCGATGACAAAAATGGCAGCTCTCTGTCCCCGTGACCTGCCCCGGCAAGAAGTCAGCTGTCTCCTGAAACCTACAGATTCTGCTTTGTCTCTACATAGGGTTTTCTTGACTTGACACCTCCCTATGTCTAGTAATATCAGGAAGGATGGATGTGGAATCTGTTTGATCTCATCATCGTGACCCGGCTAATCAGAAAGGATTTGGATGATTTGAGGGTGGATGTTTTTCATGCTTGCTCGGCTGCCCAAATTGGCAGCCTGAGGAGAAGGGAGACCCACTGCTAATGATCGCAGGGGGCGCCGTGATCATGTAGACAGCTTCTAGCAGGGCACCTTGAAACCTAAAACACCGCACACCTCAGAAGTTTCGATTCTTTCTGCAGCAATGGCAATACGCAACCAGCAGCTCCTCATTCATAGTGGCGGCGCCCGGATCTACATACCATGCTGGAATTGGGGTTTAGGGACCATGCTGGAGTGGGCCGCGGGGTCCGGTGTTGTCGTACGCCGGGATTCGTTCAGTGGTTTTGGTTCCTGACACATCGCCGCTTCTCGGTGGCCTTTCTGATGCCAAGCCATCCTGAGTGTCGTTTCAATGGAAGTACGTGCCAAATCCTCCAGTACTTGCACTGCATGTTCGTCGAATGGTAACTTAAGAGATTGCTGAAGCTTCGCTGTTGTGAAGGTACGGTTTTGTTTAGACTGCTTGCCAGGTCATTTACTTGAATTCCGAAATGATTCCCGCCTCGTGAAGTGTGAAAGGTACGCTCGTAGCGACAATCCCAATTGTAGACTAAGTCAAGACCAAGATCAATCCTAAAGGAGAGTCAGTACTGTAGTGCTGTGATTCCTTCCGGAACCCCAAGACAAACCGAGCCGCACGTCCTGCAGGTATTCTTCAGCGTCGTTGACGAGGTCTCGTGGCCCAGACAGGGTGTTCGGTTTAGGGATCCTCTCTCCGAGTCTAAGAATGGCACGGGACAGATGGCTCTCAGTACAATCGCCCAGAATCCTGGTCCTGTTTAGGATTTAGGGTGTAGGAAACCAGAGTCTGAAACAGACAGGGTCTACGAATCCCCAACCAGACCATGCTGCCTTGGATGCTACTTGTGGATTTCTGCAGCTCAGAGCCCCCAAAGATGCCGGTGTACCCCAAACCCCGACCCTAAATCCGGAAGGCCCAAACCTAGGGAGCCCAAACCTCTAAAGCCCGAGACCATAAAGCAGCAACCTAAGCCCTAAACCCTAAACCTGAAGCCCTACAAAAACCCTAAATCCAAACCCTAAACCCTACAAAAACCCTAAACTCCTAAACCTTAAGCCCCACAAAAAAGCCCTAAACCCTAAAAGCGCCACCCCCAAGAACCCGCCAGGTCTCTCAGCTTTTCCTTTCTGGCTCCGACGTGCAGACCCTTCTGAGCTTCGCCGGAGTGCCCCCGAAGCGGCACTGGGTTCCTGAAATCTTGGAGACTCATCAGCTTGGTTTAGGGCCGTTTAGGGTTCAGGGCTTCAGGTTTCAGGGTCTGGTGTTGTGGGTCGCCATGGAGTTTGGGGTCTTCGTGCACGAGCTTTGAAGCTTGGAATATTCCTGCCGGTGGGTTTGGACGAGTTCTACGATTGAGGGGGCATCTTCGTTCTGGGCACTTCCAAACACCTCGAGCATCGACACTACAGTGATTTGATTGCCGAAGCGGAGTTCACGTGTGTTGACGTTTGCTTAGAACCGTGACACCCGCCGTGTTAGGGATTGCACTTGCCCAGGCTACGCATGCTTCGTCTTGGGCGTGTCATGTCCCTCGGCTTGGAACCAATGATCATGTGTATACTTCAATGTGAACCGCCTTTACTTGATCTACGAGCTAACACTCTCTTAAGCCCAGTTTGTTAAATTCTTGAATGAGGCCCATATCTACTCTTGCGTTCTGTGCGTGCATGTGTATGAGCAATTGCTGCGCATAGTGCATAGACATACATAGCAGACATAGCACCACTGGCAAACCAACACCTGTATTCCTGCAGTATGTAGCCGACAGCATCGGCGAAGACAGTATTCAGTTGCTTGGGTTGGGGGATCGCGGAGGCGGCATGTTGCAGCCTGCGTCACTTTACACCGATGTTCTCACAAAGCACGACAGCAGGTGTCAGAGGAGAGAGGTTCTTGGCCACACCCCTCGCGCCGACCTTAGGAAGAGCACGTGCTTCGCGGGGCCAGAACCCAGCCCAACATGGCGGCACCTACACGACATACACCCTTTCCGAGCCGCTGGCGTGCGCGATATGCAGATCCTCTTGCTTCCAGCATCTGCCTCCGCAGCGCAAATTCCTGCGAACAGAGTTCGAGGCTGATGCGTTCGAGCCTTCCGACTTTCATCCTTTGCAGAAGCTTAAACCCTGAACCCTAAACCCTACACCCGCAGTTTCCTGAAATCGCCGAACTTTGCTGTCCACGCAAACTGAGGCGCCTGATTCGACTGGTTCGGGTGGTGCCAGCGCTGAAGTCCATGGTTTACCTGCGCCTGGGCTTCTGAACGGGCCCTAACGGTTTGGGGTTTAGAGTTTTGGGGTTTAAGGGTTGGGCCGTTGGGCCCCTGACTATTGGGGCCCTTAATCGGATTAGAATAGGGTTCCTTTAAGGGGGTCTGCAAAGCATGCGAGCAAGGCTTCTACAAGGGTGAGGGCCATCAATGCTCATAATACTTTATCAGAAGAGGATTCCTTGAAGTGTTCTGTAGAGGCGTCTGGGAAAACCACCGTAGTAATTTTCAACAGAATTCCATGGTAGTCCCTAGGTTGACATGCTTTAGTCTCCCCAAACCCTTGCTCTACTTTTATACGGCCTCCATACTGACCCCGGAGTACCTGGTTCTGGGCTTCTTTAGGCTGGGCTCGCAAGATTCTCTCGCCGACCGTCCTTGCGAGGATCTAGCGTTCGAGTTTAAGGCTGGGCTCGAAGTCTGGACGACCCCGGAGCCCAAAATCATGCAGCTCCCGACCCTTTGCGTTCAATGGAGGACCCGAACCGCTACAAGAGCCTGAGAGTGTTAGGCCGGATTCTGGATGGTGGGAGTAGAAGGAACATGCACTTCGAAAGCCTAACACCCGACAGGGGTGAACTGAGGCTTGTTCGTGTTTCTAAAGGGTACTTGCACCTGATCATGACGAGTCTTCTCCGATTCTAAAAGATTATGCCTGGGTTTTGCGAGATTGCCGCTGCATGAGAACCGAGGCCCCATGAGAACTCACAGCAACCGAAAAGTTTCAAGGCCTGAACTCTTGAATTCAACCTGCCCTAAAACCCTAAACCCCAAACCCCTACATTCCTGAACCAAGGGTGTCAGCTTCCATGAACTCGTTCTTCTGGACAGGCCGGGACCACTCCTTGATGTCTGCAGGGCGAGTTAAAGACAGATAAGAAGCTGCAGGCCTTCACCCAAAACGAATGTGAAGAAAGGAAATCCCAGTTTAGGTGGCACTTTGCGAACGTTCAAGTTTCCCTCATTGTCTCGTAGAGGTACTTTTTCATAAATACTGTTGGGGTTTCCACCACTGCAACCCCGTAGTAGCAAGAGAGACTGTCAAGAGAGATAGTAGTCGCAAGATGACACCAGCAGTACTCGTGATCGTCAACAGTGGCGGCAACTGTAGCGTCGATCTTGACTGGCGCGGTGAGATCGGTAGTTAGGGGAACAACGTGTTGCAGAGGTAGCCTAAGGAAGTTGCAAGCGCTGGCAGCAGCACTAGCAACAGAAGTTTATTGACAAGAGTAGTATCATTCAAAGCAGAACGCTGGCAGCTGCAAAAACAAAGGCGACGGTAGAAACACTAGCACAACTGCCGACGTCCTGACCATGTTCTTGCTGACCGCCATGAAAGCCTTCATGAAAGCAATCCTCACCCTACTCCAGAGTAAAGCCACTATCCGTGGCAGCAGCAGCCAGACTGTCGTCGTCAACACCCGTGTCATCGTCATCACCGCCATCTACACAAGAGCAGTACTCATCTTGACAAGCACAGTCTGCAACTTTCGAGTCGCGAATGGGCATGTGGCACACAGAGATTCGGCGATGAGCTTTGAACATGCAAATTGGATGCACCACGTTAGCTGAGGTCACTGGGTTTCCTTAACAGAGAGATTATCTCAAGAAGGTCTTCGAAAAGAGAGCTGTAAATTGCAAGACCTGAGCAGCACAAGTACAGGAACAATATCACAAAATCACTTGTGGAGGGGCCAAGAGGCGGAGTATTCAATCGTTAATCGCATCTCAGCTGCCCATTGTTGTGAAGCAAATATCTTCTCAGCCTGTCCACAAGGATCCAAAACAGTACAGCGCGATCTTTTCATCTCAATCACTCGGTAGTCTTGCCTCGTGGACGTGAAGCTCCAGAGGCGTATACAAGAATCTGGTTGCGCTTGTCCGTCCCATGCCCTCCAGGTGTGCTGCTGCTCCTCCTCATGTACTGTGTGGCAGTCCTTCCGTCGTGTCTTGAGGGTGCAAGAAAGGGGCATTTTTTTCATGGCTTTGTATACTTGTCCGAGGAGCCCAGGTTGGCTCCGATCGGGATCCCTTACAATACTTCCCTGGCCTTTGAGCCTTTGAAGCTCTTGGAGTCTCTGTGCCAGGTCTACTTCACAGACTTAGCCACGGAGGCGACGCGGCTCAACGCCAACACCTCCGTGGACCCTCCGGCTTGAAGATCGTCCCCTCAATTGTCCCCCAAGACCTAAATTTCGAGACCCGAGCACTCCGAGAGCGAAGGAGCAAGGTACTTTTCCAATAGATTGGGATGAATCACGTCAGATCCAGTAAGGTCTACACCTACGGAAGTGAAGAAATAAAGACATCATCCTGCGCGCATATCTATCTGCCTGTATAGAGACAGACCTACAATAGATAATACGTGTCTGTGCTATATGACATGTGCACAAAGAATGGCGTGTTTGCATGAGTAAGTATAAATGTCTGTGAATATCTTTGCGCGTGTGCATGTGCGCATGTACACATGTATGTAGGCATGCGTGCGTGCATGCACGCATGCGCCTATTTCCGTGGACTCTTCATGTATTCCAGCGGATCCTTGGCATTGTCTTAGCCCCTATATAGGTATGTTGGGAAGCTGAGCTGCCTCGGTGTCCCGACCTTCCAAAGCAACTCAGCACTTGCAACCCTGAGCCTGCACCACCGGTGTCACGTAAGGCCTGGCCTATCGCCCATCGCCACTTCTTTTTCTACCGTCAAGCTTTTTCTTGTTGTTCTCCTGAACTTCTTCTTGTCCTCACCATGTTGCTTGAACTTGAGCTTCCAACACGGGTACACTCCGCCTTCGAAGGACCTCACGGAAGTGCGCCGATACTGGGGCTCCCTGGGACAGGCACCTTCGGGTTAGACTTGAGTGCAGAGTTTGGGAATCAGGGTCGCTCGCAGCAAAGGCGAGGGGAGCTTTGGGTTCCTCTTTAAGCGGACGAAAGGGGAGTTTTCGATTATGGCAGTGTTGGCTTGAGTAGAAAGAGAGAGTCAGAGAGTGGAATGCAATCCTTAGCACCTGCATCTTATGCTTGTCGTTGCAGCACAGCTTACCTCCGAACCTTACTCCTAGTATCAGGTAGGGCCCCCTCTTGCTGATCAGATCCGGCAGCCTGTATCGTCTGAGGACGCCCCAAACTTGAAGAAAATCCGGAGTTTTGGCTTGTCACGTCGTTGTTGGTGCTGCTGTTGTTGCTGGGGTAGCTGGTGTGGCTTAGCAGAACGCAAACACCGAGGTCTAGTAAGGTCCAATTCAGAAGGTAGGGTTGCGGATGGGGTGGGATCAGGAGGGCCCGATACACCCGTAGATCCACATCTGACAAATGCTGTTTTCCTGCAGAGCTCATATTCTTGCTGTGAGGCAGTGGCCTCTCTCTTCCAGGCAGGATGCAGGGGAGCTTTGCGGCAATGTTCGAGACTATGATGAGCAGAAGGGTTGTCAAGCAGGGGGTATGTTGGCACGTTTTGCCGTAATCTTCACCCATGGGCTCGCAGATTCTGAAATTCGCCACCCCCCGGTTCAACAGAGTTTGCCATGTACGGCAAATGAGGGTCGTGGTCCAGATGTCTCTTCAGGTCACGAGCAAGAGACAGCCCATTCAATAAGGAAACTGGACCAGGGCTTTTGCGCAGTTGCTACAACAACGGCATGTCACACTCAACGCAATGAGTCATCCTTCTGCAAAGGTATGCATTTAGCCCCTATGAACTCATACAGCAGCATCTGACGGAAAACATATATCAGAGAAGGAAGAATGGGACTGCCCTTTAAGGCTCCGAGTGAGGCCCCTTCATCGCAAGAAGTTTGAGGACTGTAGGAAGCTTTGTGTTTTCCTTGATGAAGGATTGCCAGAAGTAATGGGTTGCAGGAGTTTCCAAACAAAAAAGCCCTAAAGCCCATTACTCCGTGAGTCTCAGTTGGGGGAGGGGGAAGACTCCGAGGAAACAACGTAGGACAACATAGAAACATGGCTCCGATCGGTTTCTCCAAAAGTTTGCTGCTCATGCCTCATACTCGAACATTCAGCAGGCAATTACTGGAGGAATGGCCGCTTGGGCTTGCAACCATCGCTGTCTGAGTCGTTGGCATAGTGCCGTTCGTGATGTTTCTTCTTTTGCCGCTTTTGGTTCCGATGTTTCTTGTGAAGTTTGTGGGTTCGTGGAGTTCATAGAATCCGCACAGCATGCATGAATCTAGGAGTGGGCTTCCGATTCAGGCGGTAGAGTCATGATGTTATGGCAGCAATGGAGCCCTTCAACCCTTCTTCCGCCCCGAAACCCCGGAGCTGCTAGGCTTCGGCCCTAAACCCAAGGCCCGAAGCCCCTGGGCCCTAGACCCTGAAATCCAAACGCAGGGATCCTTCCCAAGAGCTGATCCCGACCTGCAGGTCGGACTCTAAAGTCTCAGCAACACGTCCCGGAAGTCTGAGAAGGGAGCTATACTAAAGGGAGCATGATCTCTCTCTTCTCTTTCTAGTCCCGTTATGTTACACTTATCAATATCTCTTTAGATTTGTTCCGTTTCATTGTGTCATACTGTATCATTTTGGTTATAGTTATAACTGCAATTATAGGGAATCGTGACTATACTTATCCTCATACTTATATTTGTAATTATGACTATAGATATCTATCTATATATATATATATATTGATTGATATATTGTACTACATTCTATTATGTGATATGACAGGGGATCTCTTTCGGAGAGCTGAGGACTGGCGAGTCTTTGTGGAGGTCTTCGAGACGGCGCTCCCCGAGTCCCACGACATGCTACTGGCTCCTCGGCTTTCATATAGTGCAATATAACATAATTTTTTTACATAGTTTACTATAGCATTATAGAATATAGCCAGCATAGTATCATGTAACACAAATAATTTGATATAACATAATGGAATGTAATGTCATACACGATAATATTACAGTAATAGTATCATATACTGTTATGATAGGAAACAAAATAATGTACCAGAGTATAATGCGAAATAACGGGTTACATTATAAAACAATGCAGTATCATTACAATGTAGTAGAATACAAGATGACATATAATTCAATATAATGCAATAGAGTATGAGTATAATGTAATATGTTACAATATAGTATAATATAAAGACATGTAATGTAGAATTTACGAAAATTTACGATATATCGTATTATCTTACGTTGTACTACGACACAGTATGGCAATTTAATAACTTCTAATGCAAAGAGGATACAATATGACACAAGATACTATCACATCATGTAATACGGCTTTGGACCACGAAGCTGATTCAGCTTTGGGAGGAGCAAAGATCGATTGTCGTCTTCGTTATTGCCGTGCTAGTCGCAGTCGTGGTGGTGGTGGTTGTTGAGGTGGTGTAGTGGTGATAATCGGGTGGTGGTGTGCTTGTTCCTGGTTGTGTCGGTGTTACTGCGCTCCTTGACATCGTGGTCCAGTCATCCTATGCCTGTCTACAACTACGCCACCACCCTTGGTCGCAGCCTTTCAAAGGTTCGTCTAGCAAGGTCGCTACCTTTAGTAAACTCTACAATCGGTGGCAGTTGTGCCAGGCCTCGTCGAATCCTCGCCCCAAAAGCCACGCGTGTTGAGGCAGGCAATCTGCATCGGCCACACACCCACGCCAACAAGTTGAGAATGTGAATCAGCCAGGTGTTTCTGCAGCTACTCTGAACTTGAGGACATTGCAGGATTCACTAGAGTCGCTAGAGCTGCCACATATCAAGCCGCTGCTTTGCCCTGTGTCTGAGGTTGTTTTCTCTCTGTACATCGCATTCGCAACACTGGTTATGCTGAACTTGGTCACGGGCGTGTTCGTGGAAGGTCGCTCGAAGTGCAATGCTCTGCGCTTGGGGATTGTGGTGCAACCGCTTAGCATTGGGGGCCTGAAGAGCAAGTTATAAGCTTCCTTGGCTGAGACTTCCCGAATACAGCTATAGTATGCTACAGCACAAAACCACCAGAACCCTCTTTTCGGCTTCCAGGCCACTATATCACTGAGCTGTGCCGTTCCCCAAAGGTCAGTCGAGACTGCAACTGCGTGTAGGAACCAACTCGTGGTCAAGTGTCTCTGTGTAGCCCAAGGAGCTCAGCGCATTGCCAAGGAGGAGAAGGAGCAGGAGACCCGAGCCGTTCTCTTCTTGTGCCACTTCGTTTTTGCTGACCTTCGCATTTCCCGTGCATTTTATAAACACCCAAAACCCTAAACCTCCTTACATCCATGACCGTTCCCTGGTTTAGCAAGCGTTGGCTGGTGGGGGCGTGAGCATGTGTTGTTGTGTTTCCTTTACTGCATCTTGTACACCTTCGCTCGAGACCGTCACTGCTCCGGGCTGCACGTTTGAAACCGAGTCTCGCTGAGCCGTGCCGCCGCTAATGCCCCGCTGGCCCATGCTCTCGCTTGGAGAATGCGGGGGAACCGCACGGTAACCGCACTGCGTGCCAATGGGGACACGTCTCAGCGGTGCCCCATCTGTAAAGATGATGTTGACGCGCCAATTCGACATTTCCTTCTTCGCATGAGTTCTGTGCATCGTGCTTGATGAGCCTTTTTGGACCTACTCTTGGGCGTGACCGACGTGAGAATGCAGAACAGGCTGCAGTGTTACAACGTGATTATGCAGTACTACAACGTGCTTATGACGTACTACGACGCGATTATGAAGCAATTCGACGTGAGAGTACAGCACTTCGACGTGAGAGTACAGCCCTCGACATGCAAGGCTCAAGCCACATACTTCTGCAGGGTCCTTTTGCCATTGGCTCCCTCGTGACTATCAATGTTCCACGGTGGCAGCACATCAGGCACTGGGAGAACATGCTAGACGTCAACCTCCGGACTGCAACAGGGCATGTAGCGTTTCATTGGGCAGCAGGGATACCAAAGTGGTATGCAACTCCAAGGTGAACGGCAAGTGGCAGCACCAACAGGCATATGATAGCGCTGGTGCATTCTTACGATCAAACGCCTTCTTCATGCACATCTCCTTCAGGGAATCGGCGTGGTTTGTCCACTTCCAGTGTGACGAGGACGTACGACACTACGGGTTTTCGCTTCTGCCTAGATGCTTGCTGATGATCGCGTGAACATCATTCAGCTAGCCGAATATCTTCAAGATCCAACCTGGAGGGGGGCGTTAAGGGTTCAGGGTTTAGGGGTTTAGGGTTTGGGGTTTGGGGTTTCCACGGTGGTCTTGAATGCTTTCCCTGGAAAGCAGCGACGCGCTGTGAGCGCATCTTTGGTGGGAGCTATGCGTCGTTGTACAGATCTTTGATCTGATGGAATGGCAACTAGGAGCGCGTCCCTCGGTTATGTGACTTTGTGTGCACTTTTTATTGGCATTGTATCTACAAATTCCCTGCCACTCAGTAACTAACAAGACACCCTTGCTTCATCTACATTCTCATAAGCCAGCCCCTGCCCAACCAGTCTCCCCCCCGAGTCTGCACCGGTCCAGTTCCTTGCAAGCCAGCAACTTCTCATCCAGTCTCCGCGGCATGTATGAACAGCATCATTGCAAAATCCAGGGATGTTTTTCGGTTCGTCCTGTCAACACTGACGGTGCTTCGTACAGGAGCTGATCAAAAGTGTGCAGAAGCTATGTGCCATGGCCGCGAAAGTCGTCGGGTCGCGTGGACCGTCAAGTCTGAGAGAGTGCAATAGACATGCTACACTTCACGATGTGCGGCGGAATCTGCCCCGCTCCAAGCACCCCGCTTCTTCGCGACTTAAGACAATCCTGTGCTCCGGGGGTGTTCGGTAGGATTTTGCAGACTTCCTTAGGCCTGATGACCTGGGGATGTTTTTGCGAAGCCTGGAGCTCGAAGCCCCTTAAATGCTGAACCCCGAAATAAGCCCGAAGACCCTAAACTTTGAAGGGTTTATAGGCTCTAAAGTTAAAGACTTTTCCTCCGCTATCGATTCCAGGTGTTCTCGCAGATACTAGTGGCGATGGGGAGGCCGCCTGATGATTACAGGGTGTAAATACGCGGGTGGAGTTTGTTTAAGAGTTTAAGGGGAAGCAAGGTAAGGGTTTATGGGAGAGAAGTTTACAGGTTTTCAGGTGTTTCAGGTGTTCGCATTGTGTCTGAGTTTGGACTGGCTAATTTGGGAGTTCTCGGGCCGGGACTACAGATGCCACACAAACAATTCTTTCAACGATGTCAGCCGCGCCCCTGCAAAGTGTCTGTTGGCTTCACTTCATAGCGAAGACACTTTCTTCCCTAGGCCCGCTTGGGCACTTCCGGCTCTTCTGCAGCCCTGACAGATCACCTGGGAAGAGTTTGAAGCCAACCTCTCCTCGCAAGAGATGATCGACGCTTGGCAGAAAATCTGCATGTCACCTGCATCACTTTGCAGGTTTTGCCGCTACATGTCTGTTGATTCGAGTTGTTTTGCGGGTATAAAGTAGTAAAAGTACTAGTAGTAGTAGTAGTAGTAGTAGTAGTAGGTGTAGGTAGTAGGTAGTAGGTAGTAGGTAGTAAGTAGTAAGTAGTAAGTAGTGAGCAGTAAGTAGTAAGTAGTAAGTAGTAAGTAGTAAGTAGTAAGTAGTAAGTGGTAAGTGGTAAGTGGTAAGTGGTAAGTAGTAAGTAGTAAGTAGTAAGTAGCAAGTAGTACGCAGTAAGTAGTAAGCAGTAAGTAGTAAGTAGTAAGTAGTAGTAGTAGCAGTAGTAGTAGTAGTAGTAATAATAATAGTAGTAGTAGTAGCAGTAGTAGTAATTTGTCAGCGCTTCACGGCAACAAGACTCCACATAATCAGTTCTTGTCGACGGGTCGGGGAAGCCAGATCCTGTTGTCTTTAATATACTGTGGCTTGCTTGCTTGCTTGCTTGCTTGCTTGCTTGCTTGCTTGCTTGCTTGCTTGCTTGCAAGGCTAAAGCAGGAGGAGGAGCGGAAGAAGCAAGAAGCTGAAGAGCTGGAGTCCAAAGCCAAGCAGGCGAGATGCGAATCATGCGCCAAGAATCGGCCAAAAGATTACACCAGTCTCCAGCTGTGGACCAGGCAGAAGCAGCTGAGCTGGCGCGTCAGGATAACCTTTCACGAAAGCTGGATGAGGCATAGGTTGCTGAAGCTGCGATGTGTGGTCGTAGTGGTGTGCAGAGTGCAGAGGTGAGGAGGGGTGCAATAAACACATGACTAAACTGAATACGATGACACATCAAATCGATGGAGCCAGGCCAAGAGCATCATCACGCCGGAGCCGTGCCCCCACGGAAGTGTGGCTGTTTGTTGCTGCGTGTGTTTTCTTGCAGCAGTCAGAAGGCTCCGTTTTCCGGAGGTTCGGTTTTCCGACCTTGTCGGTCCAAGTGACGAGGAACGTCTGGTCTCTAGCAAGCCACTTCCGAAGCGATGAGCTGATGGTGTCCCGCGTTGACTTCGAACGCCTGGAACGGCGCCTCTTCCAGGCTGAGAAGACGATCCAGCTGCAAGCCAGCCACCTCCAAGAGTTGCAAGCAACCGTGGATGCCCTTCAGGGCCATGCCCCGAGTAGCCGCGCTCCGATGCCTATCATGCGGGGAGCGGGCTTGCCCGTAGGTGCCCCGGCGGGCTTCCTACGGGAACGTTCGCGAACACCGCGGCCGACACCCCCTCCTCCCAGCTACCCGACAGGGATACCAGCTGCGACATACGGAAATGAGCACTCTGGTGAGCCCTTCGATGAGGCCCGGATACTCCTCGTGGAGGACTTTGTGCAAGAGAATGCTTTAGATACAAAATGCAGGGACGCGCTTCTGGCCCTACCAGCAGAGGTGCAGCGTGCCGTAATTAGCCAGGGCCCAGCTGAAGGACGGAATCCTTCCGCAATGGTCATGGGCAGGATAGCAAAGGCACAGAAGGATCCGGCGTTTGGCGCATCTGCTGTAGAGCTCACGATGCCCCCACCAGACGGCGAGAGACTGCATGAGCTTGTTGAAAACTTTATTGCCGAGCACAATCTGGATGAGAGGTGTGCCGACACCCTGCGGAACCAGTCTCCAGAGTGTCAGGAGGCGGTGCTGAGCCAGGGCCCCGCGACTGGCCGCAACGCCTCGGCCATGGTCATGGGCCGAATCGGCAAGTTTGACTCCCGACGGATATGACGCGGATATGACGCGGATAGCCTTCTGGCAAGAGACGACGTAGCAAGCAAAGACCAGAGTGCCCATCGTGAAAAGAGGAATGCATTCCGACTGCATGGCTCTTGAATCCTGTGTTTTTTGGCATCTTGGTACGCTTTCTGATTGGCAATGACGAGGAGCAGGTTTCGTATGCCATGGGAAGCTCTCAGCATGTCAACCCATCCAGGCCCCCCGCTGACGAAGCTGGCCGGCTTCAGTTCCAGATCCGCATTCCCGATGGAAGGCCCAAAATGGATCCGATCAAGCCCCGGGCATGTTCCGTCATGTGCTCTCAGGCGGCTGAAGCGGGCCTTCCGACCCGAGGACAGCATTGGCCAGGCACGGTTCGATTGTCTTCCCGGGCATCATGCGAGACGAACCCTTGCCTCTTCAGGTCTATGCCTACGCCTGCGTCGAAGGTGGTGAGGTGGGGAACACCTGGTGGCGATCTCCAAAGAAGCATGTTCCATGCCCTTTACACCATGTCATCATGTTTCTCAGGCTGTGAAGCTGTCTTAGGATCGTAAGCCTATCAGTCCGCAAGAGAATCGTAAATGGCCCTCTCCGATGCATGATCTGCTATCAGAGGTGACCATATGCGATATGATATGGCATAGTCTGATGTGACACAACTGCGACAAGCAGAGGGCAATGGCCTTGGCTGCTCGGAGGCTCTGGTGACTCGCGAGTTTCGGCTTGTGGAGACCATGCCGCGCCGCACCTACGAGGCAGGAAGATTCCGAGCATCTGAGCCTGAGGGCCTACGTTGCTTCTCTCGCATCCTCTTCCGTGGCCCAAGCGTCTGAGGCTCCAGTGAATCCAACTTGCCAGCCCGAACCAGATTCTCCCCTTTCACAGGAGGCCTCCCTCGTCGCAACTGCGCGATTACCCTTAGACAATTTCGATCTGCGGCCTCGGTTTCAGAGGTTGCATAGGGATCATAGGGTTGGGGTTGGGTTGGGAAGAACTAAGCCCCCAACCTTAAAGCCCCAACTGTGGGATTAGGGTTTCAAGGCTGTGCGACCGTAGGATGTATGCATCACGGGATAGTGTAGCAAGCAAATCTAGCTCCGAGACTCGTTTCAGCAAATTTGTTTCCAGTTTTGGGTGGTGCCGAGCAACACCGATGTCTTGGAGTCCTCAACGGTCAGGTCGCGCTCTAATGCCTAGGGTTTGGGACGCTTTTGCACCCGAATCATCCTGAGCAGAGCCGAGTTTCCGTAATACGCGATACAGCCTGTTAGCCGTTTCGTGACCAAGCAGACTCTTGCCGTTTCTCCCTGCTCTCTGAGCGGCCTCCAGCTTCTCGAAATTCTCAGCGATTAGAGGTGTCTCTATACACGTCTTGTTAAATCGGAGGTGTATGCCAGGGTCAAACTGACGATGCATTAAATCTAACTGCTTAAGATTGAAGCCTGAATGGTGCACATCATCGTGTGCAGCCTGCGTGGTGAGCGGCAGCAGATCCTCGCAGAAGAGACCCCGTTTTCCGTCGAGAAGCTCAAGGAGCACCTCGGGATTCTAGCGCAGGGGTGCTTTCTGTCAAGCATCCTGCGCGACAAAGACATTCTTGACGATGCCACAGACCTAGCTGGCTTCCCGCAGCCGGTCGAGGTGAACCTGATCCAGCATCCGAGCCATTGGTCGCCGATGCTTCTGTCTGCTGCCCATCGGCAAGACATCTCAGAGGTCGAGAGCGCCCTCAGAAGTTTGGCAGATCCGAATTCCCAGGACGACAACGCTTGGACTGCAATCTGCTTTGCCGCCCTCCACGGCAACCTAAACATGGAGACTCGACCTCTCCAGGGGAGCCATAAGAGAGCCTGATTAGAGTGCCTGATTAGCATGTACTCAAATGCGTCTGCGTGAGCCAAGGTGAAGCTGTTGCGCAAGGCAGGTGCTGACTGCGAGCTTGGGCCCGATGAGAACGCAGCTCTGCATTTCGCCGTGCGTGGAGGCTCCAGAACCACGTTGGGTTTAGGGTTAAACAGGGGGGGTTTTAGGGTTTTCTGGATCCCCAGCTCCAAACCCCCCGGCCGAAAGCAAATGGTCTCAGGTTACCTGCAGGTGGTCGATTACCTCGTGGCGCAGAGGTTCAGCTGCCACTTTGTTGACCCTGCCAGGATGAGTAGAGACACTGTACAGATATCTCGAAGCTCGAAAGAAAGTCGAGTTCTTCACAGAAGTTGTATATTACATGTACATATTCTAGACACTGTCTTACATCTGACAGATACAGCTTGACAGCCAGGTGTGATGTGAATGGTCGGGACAGCTACGGGGTCTCCCCTCTGCAGGCGGGAGTCTCGCAGCTAAAATCATCCATCTTCGGATTCTCGCTGTGGGGATCCGTGGTTGGAATCGGTCGATTCAGGCCGCCGCCGAGGAAGGCGACAACGAATTGGTGCCGGCATTGTGCGACTTCTGCGCCGACCTGGATGCTGCGGATGACGAAGAAGTCACTCCTCTGTTGGCGGCATGCTGCAGAGGCGAGGTGTCCGTGGTACCTCAGCTGCATTCTCTGCGTGTATGCGCTATAGTTAGAGAATGCGTGGGCAACGCGCGAAGCTGTCGCTAGGTCAAGACCCTCTTGGATCGACGGGCAGAGGTGAGCAACGTCACGCGGACCGGCGCCTCTGCGCAAAGCTTGCTTCTAGGCTTTCTGGAAAGCCGTCCAACTTCTGAGAAGGTTTCGCAAGCTCGCGACTTGTCAGCAAGAGCAGTCCCTTCGACACGCGCAATGGGTTGGATTTTGTTGCACCTCTTGCGTGCAAGGTGACCTCCTTCGGGACCTTGATGGCTTGGTCAGTGCTCGGCGGGAGTTTGCAGACCGCGACCATGGGAGCACTATGGAAGATTGAGGGCGAGAGATGCAGCACACGATGACGGCTCCGCCGAGCACACCGACGCGCGAAGTACGCACTGGCACTTCGGGGTCGCAGAGTTGTCGCTCGTTACGAAGTGCATCACTTGCTAGAAGAGGGCCAAGTCGGCCGGGTTGTTGTCAACCAGACCGCTTCAATTTCTGACATCGACCAATCCAAGCCCATGTGTTGCGGTGCCATGCAGTGGTGAAGAGCATTGGCTGCGGTTGCGTCGCACGGAACTTGGCTGCCTCATCTGCTACCAGCAGAAGCGGTGGCCGACTTGCAGTGCAGTCTCAGCGTCGGGACGTGTACTTGGTGGCAGCAGCATGCAGTAGCCTTTGCTGCAAGAAGCAGCAACGTGCCAACCCCGGTGCTGACGATCTTTTACTGCTGTGCGGGCTGAATTTCTGAGATACGCAGTGACGTTTTGTTTGAATCTTCTCCGGATTTCGTTTCAGCTTCGCAAGGAGGATTAGCTCGACACGCCTGCTTCAGATCGACAATAATTGAGGGTTTTTTGCGCTCTGTTGCTATGTTCTAGCCGCTAGCCGTTGTGCGAGTCTCAGCATCAGTCCTTCGTGGGCCCACGGATTAGCCTTCAGTGCAGGATCGGAGCATCACTTTGGCGGCTGCAGGCCTTAAGGCCCGGACATCCCAAACCCTAAGCCGTAGAGCTTCAACCCTCGCTTTGGCAGGGCCAGTGCACGCTGCTCGTGGAGTTCACCGATGATTGAATCAAGGGGTAGCTCGGATTTCCCGTATGCTCCGTGGCCAGCAGCTTTTGGAAAGGAATTGAAAGCTTTAGCCTAGGATAACTGGTTCTAGTATTGACTGGGCCACGGATTCCTTTGTCAAAGAGGGCACGAAGTGCCCTTGGCAACAGGGGATCGTTCAGAGTGGAACTTTCTAGGCAGCGAGGCGGTCCGAGTGCCCACTCGCATGGAATAGGCTTTGAGATGTTTGAACCTCCCCGGAGCTTGTGGAACAGGATTTTGGGCAGGGTTCTGCTTTGCGAGGGATCTGGACCTGTCAGAGTTCAGATTCTTTGCACGGCCTAGTTGTGTACATAAGCCGTGTAGGTGTGCAGGATACCAGACATGTGCGTCAACGAACAAACCGTCCCCGAGCTACGGTGCATTCAGAAGGAAGCATATTAGACAACCTTGGTAAATGCCGGCACATCTGGTCTTGCTTTGCAGGAAAGATTATTCATGGTGAGGGTTTTGTTGTGGTAACCATGTTGTGCTAGGGTTATTGGCTTATGCGCATCCATGATCACTCCTCAACCCGAGACAGAAAATTGCATAGGGCCATGACATGCCATGACATACTGGTGCTTAGTGGTGGTATAACAAACTGCATGTTAGCCCAGCAGCGAAAAGCCATGGCGAAGCCGCGTCATGCTGGTCGCAGCCGCTTCGCTTTGGCCGACTGCACAGAAAGATGGGGCGTTAACTGGGCGTTTTCCTTGTTTGATCTGTCCCAGACCGTAAGGCCTATGCCCTAAACTCGACTTATCATATCGGGCATCCGAAACAGGGCCACCGAATGTCAAGTAGAGTGCCACGGAAGGTGCAGCCGCTGCTGCTGGTGTTCTGCTTCTGCGGTGTGACCACTGTTTTCACTTCGCCGATGGTAGCTTGGCGCATATTTAGCCATTCCTCTGGCGCATTCTGTAAGGTCTATGGTAGGGGTAATGCCGTGCATATGCTTCTACCTAAACAGACAAGCTTCGCGTCCGTGGTGTTGCACAACTTTTCTCATAAACGGTTATGTATAACCCTACTAAGATATATTATGTTTTTCACACACATACACACATACACACACAGATAGATAGATAGATAGATAGATTGATAGATAGATAGAGACATACATGTATATGTAAATATATGTAGATATGTATGTATGTATATCTGTATATATACATATATATGTATATAGATACATACATGCCTGCGTGCCTGCATGCATGCATGCAGGCATACATACATCCATACATCCATACATCCATACATCCATCCATACATATACATTTACATATACATATGCATGTACATGTACATGTACATGTACATGTACATGTACTATACATATACATGTACATATACATATATATATATACATACATCTGTATATATATATATATATGTGCGTAGTATGTACATATGCAAAGACTATATTAGTGCCTTGTCTGTCTGTCTGTCTGTCTGTCTGTCTGTCTGACTGTACACAACTTTGTTGGGTCTAGGGCTCGATGGGGCTTCTTTGGGAATCGGACACCTCTTTCAACTTCAAGCCTTTCGCGACCTGGGCATCAGCGCATTGGCATAAAGTTTCATCAAGTACCTTTAACGCGGCTCCCCACATGCAAGCCCGATTCTTTGTGACGCCTGAGGCCCGGCGATCAGCGCTGCTGCCGGCTCTCGGCCTCCTCTGCCCGCTGCCGGCACGAGCGCAGCAGGGTCCTTGCCTTAGTGCCCTTAATTAGCTTTATGTTTCGGGCTTTAGGACTTTAGGGCAGTCTTAGGTCTTAGGAGGTAACTGGATTTCGGGAGTTCCTGAAATGGTATATGCCTGCGCGTCGTCGCGACGAGGCCCGGAGGAGCGTATGTCGCTCTACAAGGGCAAGGCGGCACCCGGAGTTTGAGTTTCGGGGTTTGGGGGGTTCGGTTCGGATTTTAGGTGAAGGGGCCCATGACATCCTGGGAGTTGACAGACGAAAGTCAGATGGCAGAGTCAGAGTCGCGCACGGCAATTGTTCTCAAAGAAGGAAGCGTTGATGATCGATAGAAGCTCAAGAGCACGTTGGACTCGAGACGCAAAGCAATGTTCTGGATTGCCGATCAGGCCGTATCCGTTCGGGAATCTGCCGAGTGGTATCGCTTCTATGTCGGCGATTTGGTTTCAAGGCTCCGACTGATGCTGGGGCTTGGCCCTTGTTGCTTACTGTCCTGTCGTTTTGTGCAATCCAAGCCGGCCATCGCGGCTTTAGGCTACCGTGCATCTCGAGCAGCTGGCCAGCGTGTCGTCTGTAAGACACATGTCCATTAACTGCGGGCTATTGTCATTGTGAAAGCATTAGTTGTTGCCGGAGCTGCAGTCCGCCAGATTTCGCCTTTATGCCAGGGGAAGCGGTGAAGATACCAGGGACGGCCTCAAGGCCAATGTGTGTGTGTGTGTCAGCTGCGAAAGACATTCTGCGACCTGGCAGGTCAGTGACGAAGACTGCGGTGGCGGGTTGTGCCTTGCCGGCCAGGCCCCTGCGCGGGATCGTCAAGCTTTTCACAGAGCATCCCCGAACAAGCCATTCAGCCGCTGTACTTTTGTGAGGCATTGATCGAAGTTTGCTTCATTTTGAGCTAAGAGGAGGCTGCAGATTCGTAGCAGTGGCAGGCTCTTTCGGAGCTGCAGCGGGTCGTGACTTCAGGCACGAAATTCCCTCACGAAGGGGCCCCGGGGGCGAGCGATCGATGTTGAGCGGGGTTATGCTTGAATATCCATGAAGTTTACAATGTGTGTCCCCAAGCATCTGTTGCTTTGCTCGGCAGACCAGCCCCGAGTGGGTGGAAGGGCTTCCGGTATCAGCTCAACACGCCGCTGCGTTTCGTGGATCGGTGGATCGAGACAGGGAACACTTAACAACGAGTGCTTCCGCAGAAGCAGCCGAAAGCCTTGGAATCCTGAAAAGCCCAGAAGTGCCTAGCAGGATCAGGGCCTGGAGGTGGACTCTCGCAAGTAGAGCGCCGCTCGTCTAGATTCATGACATCTGCTTACGGCCAATGGCCATTGCTAGGATGAAATCCAGAATCTTGCTTAGCTAATCAACTGGATCTTTTGAGCGACAGGCCGTAGTGCAGAGATGCAGGCACCGGTGCATGTAGTCACGAAAGGCATGTGCAGAGGGTATGCGCATTGAAACAGGCCTCTATGCACTTCCTGTACTTTGCGAGATGCGGAGCACAGGGGTGGGACAAGAGATCATGAAAGTCGGGGTTTTGGCACCTTCACAAGCGCGCAAGCTTGTGATGGTATCACACCTCCTATGCGGATACCGAGGTGCACTGACTACACCGCTCTTCTTGTCCGGCACTTATATACAGAGTGCAAAGTAGAGTGCAAAGCAGACTGACTCCACCAGGGTCAAGAATTCTTTCAGTGGTATGATTCTCGATGTACCACTCGCCTTGCAGACCACAAAGGGTATCGGGAGCAGCCTGAATCCATCCCGGATTTCCAGCTGAACCTCGAAACCCATGGTAAGCCACTTCTCCTAGCCTCCTCTCAGGATGGTCGGCTTCGAAGTTTGGGATCCAGACTCGAGCTTCGAGCCTCGCCGGAAACACCGCTGCGGCCTGCCTTCCGGGGTGCATAAACCGCCTAGTTCTCCGCCTTAGGGTCCCGTTTGGGATCCTTTTTATAAGAGTGCCGAACTATTCCGGGGACCAAAAAAAGGAAACCTAATTTAGAGAACTACCCCCCTAGACTCCCTAGACCCGAAGCCCAAACCACCAGCTCTGCGGAAAGGAAAAGAGGTGATAAAAAGAAGCCCTAACCCTAAACCGTAATTCCGAAACGGTGCTCGGATCTCAGGGTGATGAGGCCAGAAAAGCCGCCGGGAAATTCCAGGCGACCATCAATGAACTGCGACGCTTGGAAGGGTTTTGTGCACCTTGCTGAGTGACTTTTTGGTTGATTTGTAGTTATATATGTGGCCTATGGGAGATGCTAAGGAGGCAAGCTGAGCGAGCGCAAAGACGCCGACGTGGCCAGCAAATTGTACAGGACTGATGCCACATACAGAACATCATAGATGAGATGCAAGATTTACTAGATAACATATTACAGCTAGCATGCGGGAAATATCACGTTACTGGGCGGAATTACCGTATACAACATGCAGCGAACATGTGCAATTTAAATTTGTAGAATATTTAAGAGTTGATATATATATATATATACACATAGATACATACATACATACATACATACATACATACATACATATATATATGTGTATGTATGTATGTATGTATGTATGTATGTATGTATGTATGTATGTATGTAGTATACAGGGCTCAACTTCCTCGGCGTTTTTCATTGCGTCGCCCGGGGAAAATGATTCGGTGTTTCGCGGAGCTGAGAGAACAAGAGAAGAACAATCGAGAAGAGCAATATAAGAAATTGGCACGCCGTGGTCAGGGTACCCTAGATTTACCATCTTCAGGTTGTGCATGTTTGGTTTGTTTGTCGCACAGCTGCCCGAGGGGCTCAATGTCTTGGGCCACTGATTTCTGAAGCAGTGCTGTCGCTGTAGTATGCAAAATAAGGTACTAGAAACACAAAATACGTAGCTTTGTTTTCATAGTATGATGTTAGCCATATATACACACATGCATATAATGTAACCTACTGCGAAAGAGTATAGTATAATGGTAATATGATATATGACATGGTATGACATGGCATACACTGTACATTGTAACACAACATGATGTAACACCTGTCCTATATATGGTTGAGCATGCATAAATTTAAATAAATGTGTGTATATATATATGTATTGTACAATGCAAACGAAAGAGCATATATCATACATTATAAGCCATGTTTTGTTATCACATACACACACACCCTGTATATTGTGTTTACATATGTATACATGCATAAACCAAGTGTTGCACTTACTGTTTGTATATTATACCATGCAGAATGTTTCTATTTATTACTATGTCAGGTGTGATTGTTCTAGAACTTGTTATCTTTTCCATAGTCCATAATTTGTTGCATAACACCTAGCCTACAATACATGGTGTACGAATAAGAAAATGCTGGGAACATGTAAGGTTTAACATTTACAGTATGTAGGATATAAAGTGTATAGAATAGAGTTTATATAGCATATTTTATTCCATATATAGCACATGATATATGCTGCATAATTACTATATACTATACGGTAATATTTTTGTAGTATAATATAAAACATGATACAAAAAAGCAAAACCATATACTGTACGATAATCAAAAGACGTTAAACACCATCAAGCCTGCAATCTGCAGTCTGAATTAATATGCAGTATACAGCACCATACTTGATATGTAGGAGCAAGACTGTGTAGTAGATACATCAAGCGGTACATAAATTGTAATTTAGTGCAGCTGGTTATGCCCAGGAATAGAGCCTACACTATTTAATATACAGTATATACATGTCTACACATACTGTATAATGTATAAAAATCACTTTTCACATGACATGCAAGTGTTTGTGTGCAAGAAACAAAACATGGAAATACGGCATATAGTGTATAGTACATAGTAAACAGTATACATGATACATATAAAGAGATATATATATATATATATATGTATATATATATGAGAGAGGCGCCTCTAGGGTCTATTTGACGCCCAATTTTTTCCCCATACGACTCATAGGAATATAAATACTTGAAATAATTGAAACCAGCAGGACCGCTTTCAATTATTTCAATTATTTGGGCCACCCGAAGAATCGAAATAATTGAGATAATTGAAATCGGTGGGGTTTGTGGTTTAGCCACGAATCCCACCGATTTGAATAATTGAAATAATTGAAATCCGGCCGATTTCAATTATTTCAATTATTTGGGCCACCCGAAGAATCGAAATAATTGAAATAATTGAAATCGGCCCCATTTCAATTGTTTCAATTATTTCAATTCCTGGGGTTCGGCGGCTTCGGCCCACCGAACCACAGGATTTCAATTATTCAATTATTTGGGCCACCCGAAGAATCGAAA